CCCATAGACGGCAGCCCACCAGGCTCCCCCGTCCCTGGGATTCTCCAGGCAAGAACACTGGAGTGGGTTGCCATTTCCTTCTCCAATGCATGAAAGTGAAAAGTGAAAGTGAAGTCGCTCAGTTGTGTCTAACTCTTAGCGACCCCATGGACTGCAGCCCACCAGGCTCCTCCATCCATGGGATTTTCTAGGCAAGAATACTAGAGTGGGGTGCCAGAGCCTCCTCCGAGACTTTAGTTATGATGCCAGAATTATGTGATGTGTTTTTAAACAGGTACTGCATATGTAATGGGCAAGTGGTTTTGTTTGTTTGTGTTCCAAAAGAAAGAGAAAAGAAAAAGAAGAAAATGATTCCATAGTCATGGGCTCTAAAATAAATTGTCAAAACAGAATAACTAAAAGCCATTTGAATCTTCAGCTGTCATGATGGAGAAGCTCAGACAAGATGTAGGGAAGTCTGGTGGTGATACAGGGCTGGGGAGGAGGAGAAAGAGAAGAAGGAGGTGGAAGAGGAGAAGGAGGTGGAGGAAGGGACCTCTTGCCTTCACTGGACCTCAGCTAGGACCGGGGCTGTGTTAGGACATGATCTATTTCCCAGGGAGGGGGTTGCTGACTGCCACGTAGCATCTCAGCACGCCAGCCAAGCGAGCTGGGGTTTAGAGTAGTGTCCCTGGGCCAGGGGGGATATGCGAGTATGTGGACGCATGGCAGAGAGAGTTAGTTTGAGTAACCAAAGAGGGTGTCACTGCAGTTTGGGGAAACTGAAGCAGAAGCACAGGGGATATGTCTGTGGGTGTCTGTGAGTAACCACTTGTCATTAAATAAAGGATTTGCATGATGTAAAAAAAATAAAAAGGTCGTTTTCTCACTTCATTCCACCAGCCGTCACCCTTCAAAAATACTCTGCTGCCCTAGGTTCTCCCCATTCATTCGATGAAATTCCGGGCAGGGCACATGATTCTTCTAGCCACTCCCCCAAAGCATTCTTCTGCCATATTACTCGCTAAGACAGTCAGCAATTGCCCAGTCCAATATAATAATCAATATTTTGAACTTCCTCAAAACTTTCTCCACTCACCTGGGCTGCACTTGAAATTAATAAGGTGGTACGTGATGAGTTTCTTCCCTCTGCCAGCTCCTCTCCTGAGATATGATTCCTTAGGATAAGATTCCAGTCCCCTGCCACCCACCAGCTGGCTGCCACATGGCCCAGAGTGCCTGCTGTCTGCTGGAGAAAGACCACTTCCAAAGCTCTCCATTGCTAACCTAGCTGCTAAGGCCAAACTCACACCCTCAAGATTCTCCTTTTTATTTTTTCAATTGAACCAAGCAACATAGACTTCAGGCCTGTGTGGCAAGTTCTCCAAGAGATCTTAACTCATTCACCCAGCTCGAGCCCCTGGAGAAGGACAGCCAGCCCATGCGTGCCCATCTCAAACTTCTCCTGTCTGGATCTCTCCCACCTCTTCTATAAACAGGGAGTGGGTAGATAGTTATAGTGACTACCAATGGCTCACCAGGTAAGGAATCTGCCTGCAATGCGGGAGACACAGGAAGTGCAGGTTCGATCCCTGGGTGGGGAAGATCCCCTGGAGAGGCAGACAGCAACCCACTCCAGTTTTCTTGCCTGGGAAATCCCATGGACAGAGGAGCCTGGCTGGCTACAGTCCAAAGGGTCATCGAGAGTTGGACATGACTGAGCGACTAAGCGTGCACACACACACACACACACACACACACCCCACACACGCACAGAGACAGTTGTAATCCTCAAACCAGTATTCAGCTTCCTCCTTTAGAAATCTGTCTTAGAAGCTCTAGAACTGTTACTGACCAGGGTTCTTGGCCTCCTTAAATCAACAGAAATTGATAAAAGGCCAGACAAGTAATTCAGGCAAAACTTTATTGGAGACTCTGCTATAGCAGGACAAGTAATATATGTGCATTTAGAGTCTTATGTATGTGCATTCTAACTAGCTTGCTCTCTGAGGAAGTGGGGGGTGAGGGTGAGGGTCAAGCTGGTTCCTCCCATGGGGTAAGGGTAGTGGCAGGTCCAGCGGCCTGGCTGGAGGCATGGATATGTGGTCTACCCACCCTTTGGTGGTGCTGAGTGCAGGGGCAGTCCAGTGCCCTGCTTTTGTTCCTGACATCCTGGTTTTGCTCCCAGTTCTACAAAAGTGGAAGTTGGACTTTTCGGGTTTTTTGTATCTTGCTGTCCAGGATTTGCCCCAAATGCACATGCACACAGTTATTTTTGTCTCTTATAGTTTCTTCGTATTCTGTTGCTCCAAAGACATTAGTCCAGGTGCAAGCTTTGCAGCAAAGAGTCCCGGGTTCTCGTCTGTCTCAGAACCAAGCTTTGTAATAAGGAGTAACTGGCACTCAGGATTGAGACTGGACCATTTCATCAGGCCGAAATCTGAACTCATTTGTAAGTGTGAAGATGCACCTACCACCCAGCCCATACCTGTGTCTAAAATGAAGTTTTCTATCCTCCTTTTTTTCCTTTTTTCAGTTAAGACAGCAAAAGAGATGATTTATTGTACACGTTACATTCAGCCACAACTGAGACGAGAACTAGTCCATAGTTATCACAGATCCAGGGCAAAGGACCAAAAGGGACAGCTTTGATATGAGCAAGGTAGGTCTCTCAAAGGTGGTCAAGGTGATCAGAATGGCCATAGGTGTTCCAGATCCATTGAGAAGTTCTAGATAGTAGGCGTGCAGTCCACAATTTGTACCAGCATCCCTGGCCTCTGGCTTCCCTTGCTTCTGCTTCTGTGGCTTCCATGGGTGTGCAACTTTACTTGGACCTCTGCCTCATCTTTCTTCTTTTGATGTTCCAGATCCATTGAGAAGTTCTAGATAGTAGGCGTGCAGTCCACAATTTGTACCAGCATCCCTGGCCTCTGGCTTCCCTTGCTTCTGCTTCTGTGGCTTCCATGGGGGTACAACTTTACTTGGACCTCTGCCTCATCTTTCTTCTTTTGCGCTTCAGCCTGCGCATTCGCTTCTTCCTCCACTTCGCTCTCATGGTGCAGAGGTTTCTCAAAAGATGGCGCTAAGGCTGAGAGCTCTATCCTTTTAATATCTGAAAACATTCTTCTGCCATGGTCCATTTTGAGGAAGCATTTGGTTCAATATAAAATTCTATCACATTTACTTTTAATGACCTCATTATGGCATTTGAGCCCCAAGGCCTGACTGTTGAAAATTAATATTCCTCCAAGTGCCCTCCAGTTATTTCCGGGACCCCTGAACCACAATGTGTTCTGTAGTCTCCATACCACACCAGGCCTGCTCCCCATTCCTCTCCCAGCTGTCCACACCTGCTGTCCATCAGACCTCAGTCTGATTATTACTGCTCGTCCTGGGACCTCGACACAGGATGCCAGATGCTCTGGAAGCTTCTGTACCTTGGTTGCCAAACATCACTGTGTTCTTGAGACAGGCTGTGACCTGGAACCTGGGACCCTTCGCTGCAATTCTTGCACCGGAACAAATGTCTCCTGGAGAAACAAAATACAAATTATAAGGGACTAAAAGTAACCTTATGTATGTGCAGTCCAGGAAAATTATGAACAGCAAGATACAAAGAGACCAAAAAGCTCAACTGCTACTTTTGAAGAGCTGGGAGCAAAAGCAGGCTACTATGCATGCCCGCTGCACACAACCCTACCAAAAGGGTGGGCAAACCACCTAAGCCATCCCTCCAGGCCAACCCCTGGACACTTGCCTACCCTCACCCAAGGGGGAGCTAGTAAGAAGGGAAATTATTACTTGTTCTTATTCCCTGCTGCTGCAGTAGGGCCCTCCCCAGGGCCTAAAGTTTTGCCTGAATTTCTTGTCTGGTATCTTATCAATTTCTATTGATTAAGGAAGCCAAGAACCCTAGTCAGTAACATTCTAAGCAGAGATGGGGGAATAGCCTCTCTCTGACTGGGCACCAACTATCTGACTCAGCCCATTTTTCTGCCTCCAAACATTTCTTCCAGCTTCAAGCCATGGCCCTCGTCTGAAATCTCCCAAAATATTTCACCAAGAACAGCTCCTTCAGTTACTCCCCGTGTTGTCTCTTAGCCGAGGGGGCTCTATTCTAGCTCTGGAAGCTGGGAAAGTGTCAGGATTTCAGGTGGGGTGATCTGAAATGTTAGGGCTGGGGAGTAAACTCTAAATTGGCTTTGGAGGGTGGAGTAACAGGCCTGAAAATGGGGCTGGACTAGGAACATCTCAGTGGTTGCCATCACATCAGCCACTAATCAAGAGGTCCTTTATTTGTTAGGTGGTGTTGTTCAAGCACTAAGTCACGTCTGACTCTTTGCAACCCCATAGACTGCAGCATGCCAGGCTTCCCTGTCCTTCCCCATCTCCTGGACTTTGCTCAGATTCACATCCATTGCATTGGTGATACCATCTAATCATCTCATCCTCTGCCTCCCCCTTCTCCTTTTGCCTTCAATCTTTCCCAGCATCAGGGTCTTTTCCAATGCATTGGCTCTTCACATAGGGTGGCTAAAGTATTGGAACTTCAGCCTCAGCATCAGTCCTTCCAATGAATATTCAGGACTGATTTCTTTTCCAATGCATTGGCTCTTCACATAGGGTGGCTAAAGTATTGGAACTTCAGCCTCAGCATCAGTCCTTCCAATGAATATTCAGGACTGATTTCCTTTAGAACTGACTGGTTTGATCTCCTTGCAGTCCAAGGGACTCACAAGAGTATTCTCCAGCACCATAATTTGAAAGCATCAATTCTTCAGCACTCAGCCTTCTTTATGGTCCAATTTTCATGGGTTAGTAGGCATGGCTTAATCAGTTCCATCCTTGAATTTTTGTATGCCATTCTAGAAAGAATATGCCTGCCAATGCAGAAGACACAAGAGATGCAGGTTCTATTCCTGGATCAGGAAGATCCCATGGCGAGGGAAATGACAATCCACTCCAGTATTCTTAGCTGGAAAACTCCATGGGCAGAGAAGACTGGTGGGCTACACCCATGTGGTCGCAAGAAGTCGGACTTGACTGAGCACAGCACAGCACACCAGAAAACGGCGACACCCCAAAACTGGTATACGTTCAGATATCTCACGTCTAGGCATGGGGGTATTTGGATTGAGACTGAGTTCATTTTGTCAATAGAAACATAAAATTTGGAAGTTCTGACTCTGCTTTTCCATGCAACATCCTGGAAAAGAGGTACTATTATCAGATTCTCTCTCTCTTTTTTTTTTTTTTTTTTTGGCGAAAGAAGCTGAAGCATGGACAGCCAGTCATGCAGCTAGCATGTGACTGATCTGGGATTTTTAACCCTTGCAGCCTGATTCTAAATATCCTATTCAGTAAAACAGTCAATTACCATGCTATTCACCAGGGATGAAAAGATGACAAAGATTTTTCCCTTTGAGTTCAGGATCTAGTGCTCTCATATTTTTCTACCACTGGAGAGTGATTCATTGGAAACACACACTAATCTTAATGAATAAGAAACAAAAATTTGAGTTTGTACAAGTTAAGTCACACTGAGTTCCTGCAGAAAATCTGCCTGGTAACCAGGCCTGCAAGATGCTCTTATAATGTATTGTGGTCTGTGGCATTTTATCTAAGCTGAGAATGCCCTCAATCTATTAGAAATGCTGCCCTGGGAACATTTCTAATAACTATCAGCATAAGAGTCAGTTAGATGGGCCTCAAATTGAGTCCAGTTGGAAATATTTTGACCTCACGGCGTGATTTGTCCCCATGTCATGACCTTTTCCCTGTATCAGACATCTAATAAATCTGATCTTTAATGTCATATAATCCCATAAATAGTTAACCTCTAATCGAGATTGCTTAATTCTGAATCCTAGTGAAAGCTGTTTCAAACTTATCTTGTCCAAACTCTAGCCACAAGAGTAAAAATATTCAGCCCTACTTGACATCTTACAGGAGAGAAGAGGCACTATTTTTCCTGCCTTAAGTAACTCTCTAACCCCGTAAGAGGAAGCTTGGGGAAGGTCTCCCCACACCCTGGGGACAGAGAGCACAGACAGAGGCTGTCCCAGCACATTCTCTGCTCAGGCTACAAGCTTATGGCAAGATGGAGTGAAGTCTCCCCCACCTCCCCGAGGAGGGCTTTCTCAAAAGGAGCCATTGCCTCCCATTCTCTGCTTAACCAACCGGGGTTTGGAAAGCTGGACCTCCTCTGCAGCAGCCAGGAGCCTTAATACTGACCATGTCCATGGACCGCGTGGAGCACTTGGGTCCCAAGTAGGAGTTCTGAGGGTATGGGGCAGCAGCGTGCTGTGTAGACCATGAGGATCCGGGTCCGGACCTGGAATAAACGACTGGGAGAGACAGCATGATTGCACCCGAGGACCTCAGGGTTCACATGCTCTTCGCAGCCGTGTTTGAGCCTCTGGCCATAGAACCTTGCATAGGATCTGTGCAGCTGCTCATCTACTCCCGTTCTCTCCCTCTGTCACTGGTTTATTTGGTCTTTCTCCTCCATTCTAGGCTGGCACAAAAGCATGCACTGGACATGCCAAGGAAGAACACGGCACCCACACTCAAAAACCAAACTTTCCGCACAGCTGAAACCAGGAGGCATGGAGTAAGGAAAGGGGGATTAGGGGTGGGAGGTTGGGACCAGGCTGGACATTTTTGGAGACAGTAGGGAACCACTGGGGATGATGGAACACCCCTGGTCTAGAAAAATGCCCGACGTTGCTCTTCTGCATTCGACACAGTGTATTAGAAAGGCAAAAGTTTCTGCCCAAGAATAATAGATGAGTCCATATTTGAGAAGCACTTATTTCTAATTTTTAAATACAATGGATGTCATTTTAGAGATCACTAGATATATATGGTCATTTTGTATATCAATTTGACTAGGCTGTAATCCCAGTTATGCAGTGAAACTCTTATCTAGATGTAGCTGTGCAGGTATTTTGCAGACATGATTAATATCTAGAACCAGTTGACTTATGTCAAGGAGTTTATCCTGCATAATATAGGTAAAACTGATCCAATCACTTGAAAGGCGTTAAGAACAAAATGTTCTCCCTGGGGAAGAAGAAAGTCAGCCTGTGACTGTGGAGGCAGCTCCTTGAGGGGACTTTCCTGCCTGGTTTTCCTGACTGCCAGCCATTCAGAATTCAAACTAGCCTAGTCAACTCCATCAGTAGCATAAACCAATTCCATGCAATAAATCTCTTTATAGATGTGCTTATCATACAGGCCCTGCTTCTCTGATGGAATTCCATCTGATGCAATATGCATCAAATTAACTTTATTGCTAAGTTGTATTGTGGCCTTGAATTTTTTATATCATTCAGTATCATTTTTCTTTCTTCCTCCCTCCTTCTATTCTTCCTCTCCCTCCTCTTCCTCTTTCTGCTCTTCCTTCTCCTTTTCCTTTCTCTCTGTCTTCTTTTTTTGACACTGTCGAAAACTAGCAACTCTTGAGAGGCAAGTCATGTTCCTTTCTGGTCCCAAAGGATGGAATAATCTAAAAACATCATTCCCAGGTCTTTCTGTGACTTCTTGCAGCTTAATGTGATTTCACATTGCTATTTACCTGAAAATATCTGTCAATCCAGTCCTTTCTTTGCCAAAGTTCACAAGGAAAGAGGATAGACAGGTTCTAATCTTTTCCAAGATCATCCTCACCCTTGAAGGACTGAGTGCACTCCTGAGTTTCAGCCTGACTCTGAGGCTCATGCTGAATGTGGCTGATGTCCTGGGTGACCATTATCTGGCTCACCCTTGCTGGGTCTGCCCCAGCAGATCCACTAATGTCTCATTGACACAATGCTTGGAATTCCTGTACTTTGACGGACACCAGCTAGTCCAGCTGTGTCTTGGGAGCCAGACCTTGTCCCTGAGCCGTCAGGTCCACCACTTCAGGCACAGACCACATGCCTCATCCCAGAATCTTCCTCCAACAAGCCTGCCTGAGGTTTTGGAGCTGTATTACCTCAGTTCCTAAAACCAGACTCTCATAAATCTAAGACACATATATTTTTACAATACAGTTATCTTATCAGAATTCATCTTATTATTAAGCCATTTTTTACTCCATTTTTTTACTTTTGTTTTTATCCATTTGTTTTTCCACACCCCCAACCTCTCCTCCCGCCCCCTCAAAAATCTATTATCATACTGGTTCATTTACAGTCAAAAGTGTCTAGAAGTTGACACTTCTGCAAAAGATAAGGGGTTCTGTAATGAGGGAAACCCCTGCCCTGGGGTCCCAGCAGCCCTGACATAAACAGCCACTAGCTTCGTGAGTTATTTTGATAAGCCCATCCCTGGTAAAGGTCCCCTCAGGTCCTCGTTAACGCGAGGAAACTTTGACCTCAGACCAGCCCACAGCCTTGCAATTCCCTTCTCTCTGACTGGATTTGACAAGCCTCATTTTGTTGCTCTGTGTCAAAGCGCAGCCACACAGATAGCACTAGTCTTAACTCAGATTAGGTATTACAGAGGACTCTCTCCAGAGTGTCGTTATAGTCTATCACAAGGAGTCTCTGCATCTGTGTAGACGCTTAGGCCAAAAGCCTTGACTTGCTGGCATTTCTGTAGATCTCTTACGTCAACTCCCCGTATCAACTCCTTGAAGCTCTCTGCTTTAGACAGTCACCATTCAGTAGGGATAGAGTGACCACATAGCTTATTACCCAAATTGGAACACTCTAAGAGTGAAAAGGAGAGCTATTAATTCTGCCAAGATAACATGGATATGTCAGAATCTTCCTGGGTAAACTAGGATATCTGTAATCTCCTCAAGTATCAGCCACACTAGATAGACAAAGACTCTGGTCCCAGCCACTTCATTGAATCCTTACGGTCCATTGATCAGACCTATTGCCCTTGGATTAAGGGCTTCTCTTTGGTCCACAAAGGTCAGCCAAGATGTTGTGGCTTCTAGTAAATAACATGACTATTAGTGTCCGAGGTACAATGATAATAAGTAACATCAACTGATCATGCAGGCTATGTACCAGTGAGCTAAGTGCTTGAAGTGTAAACTCTCATTTGAACTTCATCACAAATCCATGAAATATGTACTTACTCTGTCTTTTGCAGATGAGGAAACTGAGGCAGAGAGTGGCTATGTAATTTGTGCAAGATCATTCAGATAGGAGGTGACGGAATCAAGACAACACCCAGAAATGGGTTCATAATATCCACTCCTCTCTCTTCCCTGCCTGCTGGAACCCCTTCCTTCTTGAGGGTTATTTATCTCAGCAGAGAATGAGAAAAACTATACTGTGAGAGAGCTGCCTTCAGAAGGGGGCTAAGGATGCGGGCAGGACTCAGAAAAACAGGTGTCTCCGGCTACACCAGAGTCACACAATTATTATAGACTTTAACTTATCTAGAGCAGAGGTCAGCAAGCTTTATAAATATTCTAGATGTGAGGACCACATGGCCCCTGCTGGAACCACTCGATTCTATCACTGTAGCATGAAAGCTGCCACAGGCAATGCATAAATGTGGCTGTATTCCAATAAAGCTTCATTCACAAGCTCATACCATCAGATTAATGGGAAACTAAAGCAGAAACTTCCAATAGCCAGTCTCCTTGGGTCAAGGCTTCAGGACAACATTGTCTCTGAAAATGTTTCTGAGAAGAGGTCCACAATAGACACCCATAAAGGTGGTAGGAACAGGGGTGCCAGACAGGTCAGGGGGCTAACAGCACAGAGGGGACCCCGAGTGTGGAGAGAGTCACCTACTTCCTCTGCCTCTCCTTCCACCCTGCAGGAAACCCCAATATCAAAACAGGCCGGATGCGGGTGTGGAAGGAGAACCTTGTTAATCCGCTGTGGACCAAGAGAACTTCCTGGAACTTCCTTTTGAATTTCAAATATTCCAGCAGCAGCTTGGAAACCAGACGCCACTCTCAGGAAGACACAACATGTCTAGAGCTGGGTGATGACCACAACTCCGCCAGCAAGTGACCTGCTAAGGAGATGGTGGTGGGGCTGGTTGAAGTGAATCAGCAGCCAAGACATGCACTTTGCAACAGGGAAAAACATGCAGACCAAACAGATATAAATGCTACATCCTTACCCTCTCAAAATTGAGGCTGAGAAGTTTCCAGAGGAAATGGGAAGGGGTGGGGGTGGGGGCAGCCAAGGGAAATATTTGTTGCCCTCTCTGGGGAATCAGGCAAGAAGCAGGCTCTAAGGGAGGGGCAAAAACTGCAACGCTGAACCCCACTCCTTAGTCCCCCGCTACGAAGGTCAGTTCTTTCTTGCCCCAAAGAGAGAAACACCAATGCAGTAAACACTCCCCAGCACCAGGGAAGCAGCAGATGCCTAAGCAAGGGTCAAAAACCTATGTGCAAGCCTGGTGAGATTTGCCACCAGAATAGGAGTTAAACGCTTCTACTTGAAATCGTTAATGAAAAGGAAGATGTAGTATTCCAATAAAGCTTCATTCACAAGCTCATACCATCAGATTAATGGGAAACTAAAGCAGAAACTTCCAATAGCCAGTCTCCTTGGGTCAAGGCTTCAGGACAACGTTGTCTCTGAAAATGTTTCTGAGAAGAGGTCCACAATAGACACCCAAAAAGGTGGTAGGAACAGGGGTGCCAGACAGGTCAGGGGGCTAACAGCACAGAGGGGATCCCGGGTGTGGAGAGGGTCACCTACTTTCTCTGCCTCTCCTTCCACCCTGCAGGAAACCCCAATATCAAAAGAGGCCGGCTGCGGGTGTGGAAGGAGAACCTTGTTAATCCGCTGTGGACCAAGAGAACTTCCTGGAACTTCCTTTTGAATTTCAAATATTTCAGCAGCAGCTTGGAAACCAGATGCCACTCTCAGGAAGACACAACATGTCTAGAGCTGGGTGATGACCACAACTCCGCCAGCAAGTGACCTGCTAAGGAGATGGTGGTGGGGCTGTTTGAAGTGAATCAGCAGCCAAGACATTCACTTTGCAACAGGGAAAAACATGCAGACCAAACAGATATAAATGCTACATCCTTACCCTCTCAAAATTGAGGCTGAGAAGTTTCCAGAGGAAATGGGAAGGGGTGGGGGTGGGGGCAGCCAAGGGAAATATTTGTTGCCCTCTCTGGGGAATCAGGCAAGAAGCAGGCTCTAAGGGAGGGGCAAAAACTGCAACGCTGAACCCCACTCCTTAGTCCCCCGCTACGAAGGTCAGTTCTTTCTTGCCCCAAAGAGAGAAACACCAATGCAGTAAACACTCCCCAGCACCAGGGAAGCAGCAGATGCCTAAGCAAGGGTCAAAAACCTATGTGCAAGCCTGGTGAGATTTGCCACCAGAATAGGAGTTAAACGCTTCTACTTGAAATCGTTAATGAAAAGGAAGATGTATGATCAGAATCTTTGTAGATGAACTAGAAATGAATCTAAATGCATCTCCCTGTGTTTTCTCAACAATTACTTTGAACTACTAGATTGAATCAGGGAAATCGAAGTTGTTCTCATAACCTTTCTTGGTTCCCTCATTTCCCTCACCAGCGGCTGGTACTGGCTTCTTATTGAAACTTTACAGGTATTTCTGAACATGCACATATTACGAATGGCCTTTAAAAAGAAAAGCAAAAACAAGAAATAGTATGCTTTATACCCACACGTCTCTTTTATTTAATATCTCTTGAAGTTCCTTCTATAATACTTAATCTAGAACTGTATTTTTCTTTTCTTTTTTTCTTTTCTTGTCTAGTTTTCAACTGTATGAGTATGTCATAATTTGTTTAAAGTCCTTTATTTATAGCTATCTAATATTTTTATAGACTTGTATAGACACACACCTAAACCATCACTTCTGTAAATATCTTCGTACCTATATAAATTCCTTTGTGCTTTTGCCACTAGTTTAAACTTCAAATTCCTGGATCAAGGAGTACATGCAAATATAGAATTGAACAGATTTTGCGCAGTTTGCCTCTTAGAGGTATACCATTGTTTGCTTCCATCACAAGAGTGTGTATTTTTCTTGACCTTCTTCAACCTCGAAATTTTTGATCTTTGCAAATCTTATACATAGTAAAAGTCATCCCATAGTTTGAATTTGCATTTTTCTTATGGTAAGAATTATTGTTTGAGCAACTCTCCATAGGTCTAATAGTCGTGGGCACTACATTTTCTGTTAGTTGTTTAAGTCTTTCACTTTTAATCTAAGTCTTACCCTTAGGTTTTTGGTCTTTCACTTTTGATGACCCAGAGGACATAATATGTTAAGAAAGGCAACTTTGAGTCTGTTATGAATTGTAAATACTTATTTTCCACTTTTGTGGTTTCTATTTTCTTTTGCTGATCCTTTATTATTTTCATTTGATGTAGTAAATTTTGACTTTTATCTGTTTGCATTTATTGTTTTTTTTCTAAAATCTGGGGTTTTATCATTCTTAGAAGAACCTCCCCTGTATCATAAAAATAAATTCCCCCATGTTGGTTTCAGCATTTTATGGTTTTAGTATTTACTGTTAAAATTCTTATGTATCTATTTTGGTGTAAAGTATTAGATATGAATCCAGCCTTTTCCTTTTAATCCAGATAAGCATTCACTCTTCATTCAGTTATTTGTATTTTGTTCACTAACATAGACTTCATTACATAAAATTCCTATATGCATTTCAGGTATTGCCAAACTTTCTGTTCTTCACACTGCCCTAATTATTATGATTTCTTAAAATAATAAATGTGATGTCTAGTGTGGCTAGTTCTCTATTATTTTCTTCGAAGATTTTTTTTCCTGGAAATTCTATGTTTTCTAAATGAAATCCTAGGATTTTTTTCTGTAAAACAGGCTCATGGTAACTCTATTTCCTGAATTTTTACATGTTTGAAAGTGTTTTCCTGTTACATTTATGCAGTAATAGTACTTAGTTGTTGTTGTTTAGTCACTAAATTGTATTGGACTTTGTTACTCCATGGATTTTATACTGCCAGGATCCTCTGTCCATGGGATTCCCCAGCCAAGAATACTGGAGTGGGTTTCCATTTCCTTCTCCAGGGCATCTTCCTGACCCAGGGGTCAACTCTGCATCTCCTGCATTGGCAGGTGGATTCTTTGCCAGTCAGCCGCTGGGCAAGTTTTAATAGTACTTTGCCTGGATATAAAATTATGTAATCACCTTTTCTTTTTTTTCCTGATAATATTGTAAACTCTACTCTAATCTCTTGTTATGCATATCATATATACATATATGATAAAAACTCTTAAATTTTTATTAAATTTTTTATGAGCGATGAGGGGTTTGAGAGACAGATGGAAAGAGAATAAGAACTCTTAGGCCAGTCTGACTTTTGTCCTTTATAGGAATCAGACATTTTTAACTGGTTTTCCAAAGGATATTTCTTTATCCTTGAAATGCAATAACTTTAGCAGTATATATCTTACTGTTGCATTATTCTGTTAATTTTTTCCTCTAGACACTAACTATTTCTTAAATGTATAGCTCCAGGAGTTATTTTATTTACAGAATTAAAAATATATTTCTTTCAATAATTTTCACTTGTTTCATTAATTCAACTTTCTATCTTGGAAGTGCTAATAATACATGAACTCGATCTTCTTTTCTTCTTCTTTCCTCCCTAGGCTTTTTTAACTCTTTTTTTTTTCTAAATTTTTCTTTTATTTTGTCTATTTATTTTAATCAGCTACCACTTTTTATACTTTCAAAAAGTCCTCTTTTCCTTTATATTCTTGTCAGTGTGGCCCTCATTTCTGTGATAGTTTATTGTCTTTTTCTTCATCTTTTTCTTATTATCTTTTTCTTCACTCCCAGAGTTTGACAGATGAATGTTTTACCTCTACCCATTGCCTGCCCATAGCTTCCTGAAATACCTATACCCCTTCTTGATGTGCTTTTTTTTTTAAAGGACCACTACTTCATTAAAGCCAGTTACTACTGCTACTGTTGTTGTTATTTCATAACAATATATTTTTTCAAAGTTTTCATATTCTTAAATGTTGTGATATTTAGATAGAAAAAAGGAAAGACACCTTTACTATTTTAAAATCACAGCTGCCATTTGTATTTCTTAATCGTACCTTTATTTTTCCATTCATTCATTGATTTGACAAATTTGTATTAACTATACTATTTGCTATATATTATATTATATTCTATAGAAATAATTACAAACAAAAACATAAAACTTTTGATTGTGCAGACCTTATCTGTATACTACCTAACATAGTTTGTCAATAACTAATATGAGAAAAAGTATTACTTGCAAATTTATGATTTTATTATTATTATTTGTGCTTTATGGTCATCTTGTCCCTTCCTCCCCTATTCTCTTTGTTCTTAACAGGGAATTCAAACATCCCAAGAATAAACATTAATTAGCTAATTAAATTAGCATTATATAATCATTATAGGCAAGAAAACAAGAGGAACTTTCTGTGTTCTCATCTTTCAGACCAAGTAAGAAAATGATACCCAAGATAAGATCCTAGTTTAAGCTTGAATAAATATGCCTCCTTGCCAACAATATGTTAAACTTCAACATCAGTGATCATACCTTTCATTATCAATACAAAACAAATCATCCAAAAAAATTAAAAAAACAATCCCCACCATGCTCTGCTTCTTGACTGCATGCTGTGCTACTTAATTCATGTCATCCTTTGGCCCTCTTTTAACAGAACCACACATTTGCTTGAGATATATCACCAGACTTTTGATAACAAAAGGCAGTGTCTTCGTATGTCTAAGAGCATGTAAACTATGGCACCATTACCACAAAGTATAGAGACAGACCTTAGAAGAATGGACTCTCCCAATTAAATGTATGCAATTGACTGGATATGTTGGCAATTTATCGAAAAAATTAATCGGCCCGCTATGTGACATTAAATAGCCTTTTAACAACAGTGCACTTAGATCCCACACCAACTCGAACAAAATAAATAGCACTGAATTGCCTAACAATCAAATAAGGATTTGTCTTCCATTTCAATTTAAATTACTCTGAAAGATAAGCAAACCTAAAAAGCTAATGGAGGAATAAATCCCTATCTATTATATTCTATTTGACACATATGTAACCCCGGCTGTCTTTGGGAAAATAAAGTCATGTTATTTATTTGTATTTTCCATAGACCAGTCATTAAGGCATTCTTAGTAAATAGCACTAAATGGAATACGATAAGGTTA